AAGAGCTTCTTTCCCGGGGTTTTGTTTTGGTTTTAAACAGGCATGTGGCGGAGGACCCAGCCGTTTGGTGTCTGCTGAGACCCAGGAACTCATCCGCGTGACCCCTGGCTGACCGCAGCTCGCTCTGTCGGGACGGACGGACCGCCTGGCTTCAGGGCTGCCCGGAGGCAGGGCTCCCGGCCGGCCAAGCAGGGCTGCCACCCTAGACCTCTGAGACGAGCGCCGGGCGGGGCTGCACGCTGAGGCTTGGGGTCACCACAGAGTGGAGACCGGGGGCTCAGGAGGTTTGTCCTCCCAGTCTTGGAAGAGCTCCCCATTTCTTCGCAAGCTCCAGAACCGTGGCCGGCTGCCGCCTGCTTCTCCGCTAAGCCCCAGGGGTCCTGGCTGCAGAGGGGTCTTCGTTGCGGGGGTCCCGTGAGTCGGAAGGTGGGCGCCCGTCAAAGGCAGGACGTGGGATGGGTTGGCTCTGCTCAGTGAGCAAAGGAGACGTCTATGGGGGTAAAAGGGCATGGAGCCCGGCGACCAAGCGGGGAGAGGGGCACTTCCGTTGCTCCCAGTCAGTGAAGTCAGTGGCTCAGCATCAGGTATTCATCTTTAATTCACATCACAGCAGTCAAGGGAACGGGGAGGGGGATACCGGGTGGCAGATATGTACATGTAAAATTCACATTGCTCGCTGGGTTTTGAACATGCTACCACAGTATATACAGTAAAATACCTCTTGGGACACTGGTACAAATTTTATCTTTTAACTTTGCTTTTCTGGTACAGGTAAGATCATTTTTAAATTACTTTTTCTTTAAACATGAATACATAAAAGAAATGGTTAGAAGTTTTCTTGTTTTAAATAAGCACAGAATGCCAGAGGTTAAAAACACATTTATAGGGCTGGATACCAATTGAACATCACACTCTATACATTTTTTGCTCAAATTCCTGTACAAATACACAGCATTCAAATAGGTATGTACAAATAAGCTTGAAAGAATGAAAATCAGTATTTTACAATCTTTTCAAAGGAGTTTCATCTCTGGCCTTCCATTTCCCCTCAGACTGGCTGATTCTCCAAAAAAGGGATTCAGAATGTGTCCTTTTTCATCCAGTTAGGGAAAATGGAGAGGAAAAACAAACTGCTTCATGTTCATAAAGCAAGGCCCAACGGACCTACACTGCCTGCCCACCTCCTGTGCCACCAGGTGGAGAAGGTAGATGTTCTTACGGGATGGCTGCCTTGTCTGCGATGAGGTTCAGAAGTGCCTTCGTATCTACAGCTGCCCTCCGATCAAAGCTAGGCCAACCCTATAATACCTGGGGACACCAGGCAGTCCTAGAGAAGGGCTTGCAAGCGACTCAGCCTGAGGAGGCCTGCCCTCCAGGTGGGGGCTGCCAAGACTGACCCATACCTGCAGCAGCCTCCTGCCCACTGCCTGGCATGACCCCGATGGCATCAAAAAGGACCTGCACTGGTGATACATCCCCAGACACCCTGACAGTAATCTGGCCCTCCATCTTTCCCAGTAGGTTACTTGCTGATTTTTTTTTTCTAACCAAATAGGCATTTGTTTGCTAGAGAAAGACACCTGAACATGGCCTTTTCTGCTTGGGGGGGAGGGCTGGGGCATAGGGACAGGCCATGGAGGTCAGCCAGCAGCAGAGGGGTTGGGGGCAACAGGCCTGCTCAGCGAGGAGAAGGCAGCCTTGTCACCATCGCTAATGTGAACTCAGGCAAATGAAAGAAAATACTATTGTAGACAGTTTTTAAGTAACTTAGAAGCACCCTGGTAAAATACCATTGTACTCATCCTATCGTGACTCCACCCCCACCCGTACCCCCGCAAATAAACTGAGGAAAATCAGTGCCCTTACCTGGAAGAGTTGCCTGTAACACTGCGCTCAGCCCAACAGACTGGGAAGGCTAGAGAAACTGCCCTCTTGCCCGCCCCGAACCCTGAGTGGTAGTCCCTATGGTCCTGGAGCGGGGGCTCTTGACTTGGCCACTTAGGAGATGACAGGTCTACCTGCATGGCTCTTTGCTTCCAAAAGAAGCTCTTGCCCACCCTCTACCCAGGAGTTTGATGAACCTGACCACACATCCTCAGGGCCTGGAAGCCTGGCTGGGCAGCCAACCCCGTGGCTCAGAGGTAGTGCTAAAAATCCCTGATTCAGGAGCTGATGGCTGGCACTCTGGCCACTTCTGAAAGCCTAGAGGATTTCTGGCCTCTGCCACACCCTGGCCTCACTCTTAGACCAGCTTTCTAACACATGGAAGGGGGCCCAGCTCCCCCAAAGAAGAAGCTAGTCCATAAGGCTCTAATCTCCACTCAAGGCCCAGGGTGGTAGATAACCCTGGCAGGTCTTTGCCCTGGGGCTCCTGCTGGGCATGAGGTGCATTGATAGTGGAAGGAGCGAACGGTCAGGAATGGAAGTGATGCAGAGGAAAATCCAAGGTGAAGTAGGAGATGGGGCTGGCCCATGGGAGCCTGGCAGTGTGCCCTGGGCATGCAGTTAGGCCAGCCACAGGCCTGAGCCAGCAGGTTGGCCCGACCAGCCCCTCAGCTGCACACTCCTAAATGGAAGAGTGGGCAGGTGGGCAGGCATTTGTGCAAAACGGCTTGTAACCCCTTTGTCTACCCATGACGTATAGTCCACGTGGTCCTTGCAATCCCTGAATGCAACCATGAACTTTTCTGTCCACACTAGTGCAATTTCCATTCTGTGCATCCCTACCCTGGAGGGGGGCCTGGGCTCCTGCTCCTGGGCCTGCGATGCCGAAAGTCTGTTCAGTGTCTGTGTAGCTCCATGTGGTCTGGAACTGCAGGAGGCAGAAAGCATCTACTGCATGAAGAAAAGAAAGGGGGAAAAAAAAAACCATAGAAATGGAAACGTAAAAAATGAAATAAAAAGAGAAGCCACAACCCTTCATGCTGCTGCGGCCTCTGCACATGGCAACACGAGTTCACGGCAGTAGAACAGAGACTGGGGTGGTTCTCTCCTGAGGGCCACGCCTCTCTGGCTCCCTGGGGGGACTTGCTTTCCAGACCTGGACCAGGTGGGCAAGCTGCTTGCTGAGGGCGGCGTTCCAGCCGCCTTCCTGCCCCTCACTGTTCCCCTCGGCCGTGCTCCCAGGCCATGCGGGCCTGCTCCTCCTTGGCACTCCCAGGAGGCAGGGAGGCCTTGCGGTGCAGGCCCCGGGGCCTCTCGGCCTCTTCTCGCAGCAGCACACCCTCATCGTGCTCCAGGGCGGGCAGGCGGGGGTGGTAGGGTTTCGGCGGCAGCGCAGGCGGGTCCATGGGGTCCCTGTTTCCCTCCCACACACCGAACATACTAGCCTCAGTCCAACTTTCGGCACGGCTGGGCCTTGATGGCATCCAGAACGGCAGACTCGGAGAGGCTGTAGTGGACAGGGAGGTAGGGCGGCTCAAGGTCATCGTCGGCACTCCAGGCCTGGCTGGGCATGGAGTCCATGGTGTCGGTGCGAGGTGGGGCCTCGGAGGAGTGCCCAAAGTTACTCTCACTCAGGGAGGACACACCGCTGCTGGCACTGCCGGACAGTGTGGAGTTGCTGCCGTCCAGGCCCGACTGGGGGCTGGTGGGGGAGGCTGGGATGGGGTGGAGCGGAGACTGCAAAGAAAGGGGTGTGTGTGTGAGGACCCCTTCCCCTGCTGTGCTGGCCACCGGAGGGCCCTGCTTGGCTGCTGGGCACTGGTGCCCCTGGGGTCAGATCCCAGGACACTCACTGGCGTTAGGCCAGGTGAGAAGGCAGAAAGAACCCCGGTGGGCTGTGGACCAGATGGATGTATTCTGCTGCTACGGTTCATTGTGACAGGCTCAGTTTGCCAGTTTTTCAGAACAGTTAAATTAACAGGCAGGACTTAAGTTTTATGTGGGAGTTTTTCTTAAAGCTTTGGTGCCTGATGCTTCCTGCTTTTGCCTGACTCTAGAAGGGTCTGCAACAGGAATGTCCACTTAGCTCCTGCACCACGGTGAGGGGAGACCTTGGGGTGCCGGCGCAGAGCACCCAGCCTCAGTGCTACCTGCCAAGTGCTCTTGGCACCATGGGTGGTTGTCTCCAGGACACTCTGCTCTCCCTGTCCCCAACCCAACTTGCATTTGTTGTGTGACATGTTGGTCACTTGCAACTCAAGTGTGACTCTGGCCCACTTTCAGCTTCTGCCCGACTGGGGACAGAGGAGCAGGAATAGGGCTTAAGTTCCTCTCACAGACCTCAGGGGTGATTCTCGATGGGCTGGCGGGCTGTGGCTTCAGTACGTTACCTTGCGCAGGGTCCGGGCAGGGAGGGCAGGGGGTGTATCACCCAGAGGGTGGTGGAAGGCGTCAAAGTGTAGGGAGTAGTGACCTGTAAAGGGAACAGAACCAGAGCCTCAGCTGCGGGCCCTGCTCAGCTGCAAGCCAGCAGGTCTACCTGGGCAGGCATGGGAAGAGACCCCCCCCATGGGGTCCCTCACATTGAGGTCATAGGAAAACCTCTTTTTCATTCTGTCGTTCTCCAAAACACAGGCTGTTGGGATGAAAGAAACCTCGTCCACACGAAGGTCAGAAAGGTGAATGCTTCAGAGCCCATGGGACACCAGGCCACAGGCAGTGGCAGCGGCAGCTCCAGCCCATGGCTAGGTGACGACAGGCTGGTGAGCAACGTGTCTGGTTCATTCAATTCCGCCGTCTTCGCCTCCCTGGTGAGAGGCCTCGCTGTGCCGACCTGCTGTGCCCAGAAACCTCACTGACCCCAAAGCCCAGCGGGAGCCTTTCTGCGATGGGGATGCTTTTCTTGGCTGAGTCAGCCCAGAGAATGGCCCGTCTTCTCAGCCTGGATGGCTGTTGCCCTGGCTCTTGAGCAGAGCCTGAGACCAGGGACTATTTGGGGGACCCGCTGGAGGTCTTCTTACCATGCAGCAGGCTTCGGGGAGGCACTGGGGGGACCAGGACGCGCCCCATGTGGGCAGACAGGAAGGGCTGGGCCTCTCGGGCTCCGCTATCCAGGCTCCAGCTGCTGGGGGCTGCTGGCACCGCTGAAGGGTGGAAACAGACGGCATGGAGGGGGGTTACTTCTTGAGCGACCTCTGGGAGAAGCCCATCCTACGGCCTGGGGCTTCTCCAGGCATGCACTGTGTGCCCAGCACACGGGGGTGGCATGCTAGCCTCTGGGACTGAAAACACTGGCCAAGCAGGCACTGTGGCCCACAGAGGAGAGGCCAGGGGCTGAAGCTGCTTCGGCAGAGCACGGTGAAGTCTGAAGAGTACTCAGGATGAGACAAGCTGAGAAAGTGCAGTGAGGAGTGGATGTCTGCAGCCCCTGGAACTTGCCAGGAGAAGAGAAAACGGAAGACGAAGAGGAGAGTGGAACAGGCTAAGGACACCGAGAACACAGAGCGTGCAGCCCACAGAGCTCCTTGGTGAGGTCGAGAGCCAGGCCTCTCCTGCTGCCCAGGCCCAGGGAAAAGCAAGGCATGCAGTGGGCGGGCTGCACGGACTGCCTCGACTTGATGGTGGGCCCAGTGTACCTGCCGGAGGGAAGCCAAAGGGCGGGAGTCGCAGCGCCAAGGAGCCACT